CAGGCGATTAAACCATCCATCCAGACAACAGCTTTTGGCCTTTTTTGTTTATTTAATTTTTTTTTGTCAGAATGAATCATCGGTTCAGACTGGATGGTTGGATCATTTGATCTGGGAACTGGACCCCAGAATGGTTCCCTGTCCAATCCGGTTTTAAAAACCTTGGATCAAACAATGTAATGAAATAATAATTGAGATCAATGTTTTAAAACCGATTTGAAACTGGAACCACTTTGACCATCAGTTTCTGAATTAGTGTTTTAATTGTCCAATTCGAACAAAAACAACAGCCAAAACCATTGTCTAGGTCTTCGGGTCAGTGGGTCACTGACCATTTTTGGCAAACAACTGGGTCAAGGGTGAACCAGAATTGGTTGCCTGGACTGGACCGTCCAGGTCAACGATGATTCAAAAGCCATGGTTGAAATAGTCATTTGGTATCACTTTCAAAATTGACTGCAAATCGGGTTGTTTGATTTGAACTTCAATTGGAGTGGTCTCGGGTTAAGGTTTCGGTCATTGAAATTAAACTTGACAAATTCCCAACCCGACGTACACCCCTACTCTCAAAGCATGCAGAGACATGGGATCAAGCGATCAACCCCAACAGAACAGTCACTCCACGGTATGCCCAGTGGGACTCACATGCACTCTACTTTGTTTCCGTCGCTGAGCTCCCATAATCCCTATAAATCGATTAACCCCATTATTATAACAAACGAGAAAAAAAAAAGAAGAAAGAAAGAAAAAAGCCCCACCATACAGGGCTGATGATTTGAAGGATCAAAAGGCAATGAAACAACTCTGTAAAGCACACAAGGACAATGGGTAAATGCCAACAAAATGAGCTGTTAAAGTCTGTTACCTGAACTCTAGGGAGTTTGCATCTGCTGTACTTTTGCCCCTACTCCCCTGTGCTTCCATTCAGTCTATTGAGATAACCAATTTTCCAATATACTTCACAACTTATTAAATGAAAGTCTCAGAAGTCAGAAGCAATGCTTTAAAAAACGATCTGGAATTAGAATTGTTCTGGCCATCGATTTTTAAGTTGATGGTTCGATTGTCTGATTCGAATAAATGGTCTGTTCTGACAAAAAAATTAAAATAAAAAATAGTCAAAAATCATTGAGTGGGTTGGATGGATTGACGATTCCATCACCCAGGTCAATGGATTGTTGACCAATTCAATGGTTTTTTTGTCAAAAACTGGGTTTGAGGTAAAACGAAACCAAGGTTCAAAATTTTGATATGGGCATATTGGGCAAATCGATACTATTTTTTTTTTTATTTTTTTTTTCTGAAACCAGTTCAGGGGGATTGGTTTAGGGCTCCTCTACCCCTTAAACCGGTCAGACCCCCGATACACCCACTATAAGGATATATCAGAGGAGTCCCAGAACGATACGTATCGACCGATACAGGCCAATACGTAACGATACTTTGAACCTTGAACGAAACTAATTCCTAATAGTCCGACCATCCAAATCAACAATAATTCAAAAACATTGCTTAGAAGCAATAACCAATGGCCAAACTATTGGGTGGATAGCTAGAGACCATTGTGGAAACACTTCTACATTATGAAGATATGCTTAAGGATTCAAAGCGTTTTGGCTGATTTTTGTACAACAACAAAGACATCATTGTTGAGGGAAACGCGAAGAAGAATATAATCGCATACATAATGGATTCAAAGAATGACTTTGGGGAGAGAATCAGATTCACATTCGTTCGTCTTCTCGGAAGCAACCTGATGTGGCGGATACTCTTATTAGGTGTTCCCATATTTACAACCTGATGAATCCTTTAAACAATTACACGAGATTTTCTTTTTTTTTTTTTTTAATTAATAACTAACGGAATGCTAATAGAGGGGTTTTTGTTGGAATCTGAATTTTTGGGGTTAATTGCCGCTACCCCTGAAGTACAGGATAATAAACTGTAATTTACCCAAACAAAAATTCAGTCTATGGCAGGTATCTCGTTACATGTGTCATAAATATTGGTATATGTTGGTTTGAAAAAAAAATATTGATATATGTAATTGTACAGCTTTACTTGAATTAATAGATAAACAGATGTATAGCCACATAGCCCATTCGGTTTGCGTCCAAATACCCATTTTCTGGTTCATCCTTGCCAAAGACACTACAGTCACACATTTGGAACATCTCAATTCTTGTTCATGAGAAGATGTTCTCAATGCACAGCTGTAGTGTTTTGTTGCTATATGCAGATAACAGATTCGAGTCGAGTTATAGACCATGTATTATGAAAGTATTGTTAAAAAATATTTTTTTTTTCTTTTCTTTTCTTTTCGATTGTTACTTGTATTAAAAATTTAAAATAAAGGGACAACTTCTTTATTCAAACCCACCTTAGAAATTTTAATTCTACTTCACACCAACAACAATTCAAAACTTTCAACACCCCCACCTTATAGGGTTGATGCCATTGTGGTGAGTTGTAAAAATGTTAACTTGTGACATGCTTCTCCAATTTTTTTAACAGGGTCCAATTTGGGTTGCAGTGTTCATCCTCATATTATCTTGCCACGAAGATTTTAAGGGTTACATTCACACTATAAAATTCTGTACATTTTCCTTTTTGGTGTTCTATCTTTTTTTAAATATTTAATATTTAATTATGACATCTGGATTTCTTTGAAATGTTGGATCATTGACCCATCATCTTGAGGCTCTTTATACTTTTTAAAGTATTATAGATTTATTCCATCATTACCATCATCATTATCATCGTCATATTTTATTCAATGCTAAGGCCTTGTCATACTTCATGCCCAACAAACACCACCTTGATTTGGCTTCATAATTAAGGGCAAGGTAAGACGGGTTGGATTTGAGTTGGATTAAGGTTGGATCAAGTCCAGCCCATACAAAAACTGACTCATTGCCTAGTTCGGATTTTATTAACCACAAGACATGACATTTGCACCCTATTCAGGAGGTGGGGGGACCCCACCCTCGAGTAAGTGGGTTTAAAAAAAAACAATTTTTTTGGGGGTGGGGAAAGGTTTTGGGATTTTGTGACTCATAATGGTATGCAGAGAGTACAATATTAGACTCACGCACATACTTGAACCCCAAGTTTCCTCACTTAATAACCCTCATTCTTCACCTAGTATATACGTTTCAACATGTTTCAATCAAACCATTTGGAAACTTTGATGTTTATTCATGTTATTTTGTTTGTATATTACTTATATATAACAGGGAATTAGGGATGGTTTTGTATTTTCATGCGGAGGGAGGATTTGGATTCTAAAAATCCAACTATTGTAGGTTTTGGGAAGGGTATAGGTTGTTGGGAGGTTTAGGGAAGTGAAAAAAGGTCTAAAATTTACAAAACCCTCCTTGAACCTGCTTGTTATCATCCCTATCAATAAATGATAGGGTAAAACATAAAAACCACCCCTGAAGTTTTCGATAATCATAATAACCTTCCTGAGATTTCACTTTAGGCCGCGTTTGTTTTCGGTGTAAATAAGAACTGGGGTAGACTTTACACCCCGGTTCAAATTTCCCAACGTTTGTTTTAGGTGTTGTTTTACACTATAAATTAGTGTAAAACTCTACTTGGGGTGAGTTTTGCATCGAGAATCGGTGGAAAGTTCCCATTGATAAAATCAATGAAAATCTCCATCGTCTTTGGTGTAAAACTCTACAACAGTCAAATAGCCTTTGCTCCATCATTATCTTTTCCGGGCAACCATTTCATCGGAGAATGGTATAAAACTCTCCATCGTCTTTTCCGATCACAAGGGCGACAACCTCATCTCCACTTCCCCCATCTTCACTTGCAGCTTTGTTGTAGGATGAGAAGCATGATGAGAAGACGGAGCCGGAGAAACATGATGACAGCCTCATCTCCATCGCCTTTTCCATTGTCTAGCAGGATGAGAAGCACAATGGCCAAAGCGATGGAAAGCAGACGAAGAACAGTGGGACCTCACGAAGCCAGAGCTGGAGGATAATGGGACAATGGGACCTCATCGAGCTAGAGGACAATGGGACCTCACGAAGAAAGAGGATGCTAGTGAAGTAGACTAAGGTGGAGAATATCAAGAGAGAGAGAGAGAGAGAGAGTAGAAGCCTTTTACTTTACATTGTGATGGCCAAACATCATCATCTTGAAAATTTAAATCCACCCTGTTACTATTTTCCACTGATCATTGAACTGGTGCCAACTTTTTCATACACAACCTTAGTAAAAGCCTCTCGTATAGTTTCACAAAAACCTATAGTTATTGATTCGATGATATAATTATAATAAACCTGTTGAAAATATTATACATTTAATCGGTACTAGGTAGAACTAGTTATAAATCGACAATAATTGGAACAATAAATTAAGAACAAGAATCGATCCATCAGTATAGTCTTGGAACTAGAACCAGCCCAAATGATTCAAGTCCATTGGGTCAGACCCGATCCATTGGCATTGGAAGACCTAATAATATAATATATAAGGTTTAGAAATGCCATTTACAAGATTTTGGTTCAGAATCAGAATATAAGGATCCTTTTGATTCGAAATTAGAATCAAAATCGGAATTAGAATATTGTATTCCCACCTATTTGGTTCAGAGTGGAAGTAGAATCAAAATCAAAGGGAATTGGAATCAAAATTGCTTAGAATACATTCTCATTTCCAAGGGAGGAGGAGGAGATGACTGCTCTCTCAACTGGGGAAAATTGGATTCCGATTCCACCCCACCAAACGGGATGCCGATTCCACTCCAAATTATGATATATGGAAAACATAGCCAATCAGGTGTTATTCATCAAAATTGACGGGTGGGTTTTTATCGGTTAAAACTCTTGTCGAGAAAGTGAGAGGATCCATTAATCTTTCGGCACGTGCGAGAAGTTAGTCACGCTCGAAGGCAACGTGGCGAATATCAAAGGATCGGGTCCACACTCCTCACCGGTTTTATCTGTCTGTCCCTGGTGCTTTGTGCTTTCCGAGACGTTTCGCGGCTCGTTTCTCGAAAGTCGAAACCCGACCCCAGCCTGTAATGACGAAATCCCAACTTCGCCCACAGGCCACAGCACTAGCTCCTTAGTCGTCGTAAGTCGTATCTTCTTCTAAAGTTCTAATATTCCCAACTGATTCCAGAGCTTCCATTCTCTTACCGCTCTCACTTCCAAAATTGAAAAGCAAAAGCAACTGATATCTACTAGTCTTTGGTTTCAATTACTGATGACTAGCAGAGGCATTAGGGTTTTGTTCCTGATCTTTGAAAAGCTTTGAATTTTGCTTAACAAAATGCGTTCCAACTATTTTCGAAGCTTTCTCGCTTTTCTTCTGAAGTTCCTGAATTTCTTACAAACCTTTGTCGGGGTCTCCATTATAATCTACTCCGCATGGATGCTCAATCAATGGAACAAGCACTCTCAGAATCCTCTTCCTTCTCCTCCTCCTCCTCCTTCGGCTCCGTCACCGGAGCTTCCTGTGCCTCTTTTGTTGAATTCGGATATGGTTAGGGTTTTTGGGCAGAACCTTCAGTTGAACTTGGCGGCAGAATTGGTTTCTGGGCTAGACGACGGGCTCCAATTTGAATTGAACAAACTTCCTGCTCCATGGTAGTTTCGATTTTCGTTAGTTCTTTTCAGAATTTCAGTGTTTTTATTTTTTCTTTAACTCATTGCTTCAATTGGGTTCCATGTCTTTACCAGTTTGGTATTCTTTTTCTTGAATGTAGCCTAGAATTTGGTTCTAATGATCGAAGTCGGGTTTTTGTAATTGTTAAATATTTCTGCAATCCGGTTTGGTTGTGATTTTTGTTGTTGGCATTGCACAGGTTTCAGCTTTATAGTTTGGCTACTTTTATTAGAATAGTGCTGGATAAATATTAATATGGTGCCGTTTTACTAACAGGTTCATTTACTCTTTTATGGGAGTTGGCATCCTGCTATGCTCAATTACTTGCATTGGCCACATTGCCGCTGAATCAGTCAATGGCTGTTGCCTTTGTTTTGTATCCTAAAATGTGATCCTTAGTTTTCTTTTATCTGGGCTAAGTAACATCAACATTAATATGAGATAGCAATTTGAGATGTGAAATCGACATAAGCTTAATATTCTTTATATCTTCTTAGGTAGAATCTGCATATGCATTTATTTCCTCTTTTTTTTCCTTCTTATTTTTTATAGGTACACTAGAAGGTGTCTTTTAAGTAACAGATTTTTATAGATACATTAGAAAGTGCCTTTCAAGTAATAACCTGATTTTCTTTTTCTTTTTGGCTCCCTCTGGACTAAATTCCCGATCCATACTCACATTTCAATGGGTTTGATAAAGTTATCTGCATAAGCTTATCAATGCTTTCTGCATCATATTTAATTATTCAATTTCTCTCTACATCATTCCTTAACCTCATAATTTCATCAGTATACCCTACTTAAAACTATTCTCATTTTACTAGAAGCAGCTTTGGTGGCTTTTATTGTATTTGTTCATAGCTGGGAGAAGGTGAGTTTGTCTTACAGTTAAAGCCACTGAGATGTTTTGAATTCCATTTAGGGAAATTTCCTTCTTGTAATGCATCTTCTCTTAGATGATGTTGTGTTACACCTATGTAGGAACTTCCATATGACCCAACTGGGGAACTTGACAATCTGCGATCATTCATTTTGAATAACATTGATATATGCAAGTGGGTTGGCATCACTATGGTTACAATTCAGGTATGCATTTTTTTCTTAGTTTTGCATTTGTTTTTACAATTGCTATGAAGCATGTACTTTTCATAGAAACATGGTGAGCTATTACAATGTGAAGCACTAATCGAGAATATGGTTATTATTAGTATCTAACATGTTAATGTGACGAATTTGTATGTGTTGCGGTCATTTTATTTTCCAAAACAAATATTGCTTCAAAGTTCTAGACTTCTAGGACCATGCTAACTCATATTCTTGGTTTGATCTATATCTGATGGGAATATTTTATGCCATTAGCATCAAAACTGAGTTTTAGTGTCTACAAGATGTTTATAGAGAGTGGAATTTGGTAGAGACTCACTATCTTCCTTTTGAAGTATTTCAAATTAAACTCAATGGGAATATCCACTTACTCGTCATCTGTCAAGTGAGCAACCATTTGCTTGTCATCCAATGTATACTTTCTTTATAAAGTATCCATGTGGCAAGATTTGAACCTCCAGCCTAGGAAATCAACCACAGGTCCAAGATCCTTTATCTTGGATAAACACTGTAGGGAAACTTAAGCTGCTGCATGTGCTTTATGTTGTCACAAGTAATAAGGATGCCATCAACACATAAGAGGAGAGTTGGGTCCTCCTAGTGATGAAGATATAATAAGACTGAACCATAACCAAGAACAATAACCAGCCTTAGTAATACTCTGCTGGAAGTGGTCTAACCAAGCTCTTGTAAATTGCTTAAGGCCAGAAAATGGATTTTCTTCAGCTTGTAAACCAATTACTTAGTGAAGCAGATTGGCAGAGGCTTCATTAGTGATGGCAATTTGATGGGCTGAGAGGGACCAAGTATAGCATATTTGGCTGGGGGAGGGTCTTAACCAAGATGGCCCTGGCCTGCATTTGGGTCAGGCCTTACATGATTAGCTAATAAGTGAAAATTTTACTAGCTTTTAAAAATTACGAAAATTTATTATACATTTGGTTTATCATACATATATTTGCACGAAAAATACACCAAAGTTTTAAATGCAAGTGCACATAAAAAAATGCATCTTGAACGAATCTTTTGTTGCTGTATTGACCATTTTTGTTCTTAATACTGAACTGTATGCAAACTTACCCCATATTGTATTTTATGTTGTATTCACTATAAATGCATTATAGATCAGCTGGTTTTGGTTGTAAGAATTAAGCAGTTAAGGAGGAGACCTGAGAATTGGGAATTATATGTAGCATTCAATGGTGTGATAACTTTTTCTTTCTTTCATCTTTGCTGATGAGAATATTATCTTTTGATTTGTTCCACATATGGAAATTGGTTATATTGGACATCATATTATTATTATTCAATTTTCAAACATGGTGGATATATTTTGGATAAAATTTATGTTATCACAAATATCTTACATTCAAGTATTCAACTACTACTGTGTTATTTTTTTTTTTGAAAAAGGTAAAGTTCCAATATTGTAACTGTATGGCTGAAGTGTAGATGTACACCGGAAATCGTGTACAATGATGTTCTCTACAAAACTGCTGTATTTCTTATATAAAATTCCATGTACATTATCTATTACTTTGCTTATTCTCCTTTCCACTGCACATGTTACATTAGTTACATTTTTAAAATATTTCTCATGATGTAAGAAATGAAGTATACTGTGCCTGTGCTTGGGCTTTCAAATCAGCCATCTCAGATTCCATAAAAAGACATTTGTTCCTTGTAACACAACCAACAACACCTAGCTGGTACTAGCATATGTATAGAACATGGTTTGACTGCATATCAAATCAAGAATTCCATACTGGTAGCCTAGTTTCCATGGGTAGCTTTTCATTACCTTATAGAATCTAATAGTATTGTATCTTCAAAAGTGTTCTAAAACGTGTTATTCTTCATATCATATTCAGGCACTTTCTCTGCTGCTGGCACTGATCTTGCAGGCCATGGTTTCCACTAGGAGACGTGACTATGACAGTGATGATGATTATGCTATTATTAGGGGTAGAACTAGGCAGCCACTATTGAATCCGCAAATAAGCCAGACAACTGGTTCAACCTCAGTTAACAGCAAAGGAACTCACTCTGACATTTGGAGTACACGTATGAGGGAAAAGGTATCAACTTTTAAGCTTAGAATTATATCCTCTTAGAATTAAATCCTTAAACATTCAAAAAGATTTGCGAATCATCTTTAAATGTTGCTACTCCATATGTGTGGCATACATATTTATGTATGTATTCAGAGGTTACTGAGAAGTGGAATACTAATCTTACATACATGCAGCCCTTACAACACCTAGGTTTGACATCTTCCCTGGTTAGAAAGAGAGGGTAGGTGTTGTAAGGCTAGAGATACTAAGTCTCTCATTTAGGATGTGTTTTAAACAAGGTTTTAAAGACCGACCCGGAACTGTTCTGGCCACTGGTTTCCGGGTCGATGGTTCAACCATCCAGTTCGGATGGACAGCTCACTCCAATAAAAAAATAAAAATTAAAATAAAAACGGTCAAAAACCGTTCAACGGGTCGAATGGGTCAACGGTTTGACTGTTCAGGTCAACGGGTCGTTGATCAATTCAACGGTTTTTGGCCAAGGACCGGATTTGGGGTAAAACGGAACCGGTTGCCAAGACGGTTCGCGGGCCGAACGGTCTGACCATCTGGGTCAACAGCAGTTTGAAAATATTGGTTTTAAAGACTGCCCTATAGTTGTCTAAGATTAGTGTCCTCTTTTTGGGAATATAGTTGAATATATGGTATGACAGCTTCTTGCACAAAAAAACTTGGGAAAAAGGGAAATAATGATGACTGGTTTCTCTCTCTCTCTCTCTCTCTTTCATTAATAATGATTATGAAGCCTGGCTTCCCCCCATGGGTTTTACCTTTTCTAGTCCCAAATATGTATTTGCTTACAGTCTTGCATATTTATGAATGCATTTGATGTCAGAGATGGTTGCTGTACCGGAGTACTGAAGTACAATACTTGGAGCTGGTTAATCTTCTTAAAAGCAAGGAACTTGTAGGGTTTACATGTGTATATGGTGAAATATAAGGCTGACAGATTTTGAGAGATATTAAGGTTAGGTTGGTAGGCATAAGAAGTGGTTTTCCATGTAACTTTTTCTCAAGTTGGAAAATGGACTCCATTAGAGTATTCTCAATTGCATCTTCTTATGGTTGTTCATTTAATCGATTGGATGTTAAGAATGTCTTTTTGGACGCAGACTTGTAGGATGAAGTATACATGGTGGCACCACTTGAATTCTGTGATCTAGGATGTGAAGGCGAAGGTTTCTATTTTAAAGAAGTCTATTTATCAACTGGTTATTAAGAATGCCTTCTTAAATGCAAGTTTGCAAGACCAAGTGTCATGGTGCTTGTGTGCCACCATCTAGATTTCTGTGGTCTCGAAGGTGAAGGAAAAGTTTTTCATATAAAGAAGTTTATTTATGGACATATGTACACTTTTTTTTCTTAATACATACTCTTACACTTCCATTCAGTTGGTAACAAGTGTCCACTTACATGTGTATAACCACACATACACACGTAATGGAACAAAAGTCATAGACTGAATGGAAGTGTAAGAGTAAGTGTTAAGAAAGAAGTGTAGGAGATGTGGAGTTGTTATCTAGGGGCTAGCTTGAGAGGTTTAAGGGTGTATATTAGAGGATTGATTTTCATCAGTTTTTCATTAAAAGAGAGGGAAGATTGTTGGCTACTTTGATCGTCTATGTTAATAGTATTGCTGTTATAGGTAACATATCCTATTGAAATCTGAAATTCATAAAAGTTTTTGGCTATTAAATTTGAGATTAAGGGTCTTGGTATCTAAAATATTTCTTGGACATTGAGGTGGCATGGTATAAGAAGAGAATTTCCATTTCTTAGTGCAAGTATGTCTTCGATCTTTCAATTGAAATTGAGATATTTGGTGTTAAACCTGCYAATACTTTAACCGATCCCAATAATTGGCTGACACCTAATTAGGGAGAGCTTCTGAGAGATTAAGCTATGTAACTGAGGTTGATTTGGTGGTTGTTACTAACCCAAGTGGACATCTCTTGCATAGTTAGTATTGTCAGCCAATATATGCACCAGTTTGTTTCTTCCATCTAGTGGAAATTGAAAGGATGGTATCTGGCTTGAAAAGGTTCATGAAGTGGAGGAATCTTGTTTTCTGACTACAGATATCTAAGGGTGGAAGTATACATAGATGTTGATTGGGTTTGCTTGGTGAATAATTGACATTCCACATTATATTGTTGTATGTTTGGGGATAACCTGGTATCATGAAGCAGCAAGAAACAATACATTATGGCTTGGTAAGTGTTGAAGCTAACTAGAGAGCAATGGTAAATGTTTTCTCTAAACTAATATGGCTAATAATATTCTTACACCATTTGAGCATAAGTTTTGGGTCCCTTTAAAGCTATATTGTGACAACTAAGTGCCTATCAACCTATCTATCAAGGCATCTAGTGCCTAGTTGCTTAGTAGCCTCAGTGATAGAATTTTACCAAGAAAAAATAAACTTGAGGTTACTTCCCTAGTTTTATGTATCAATCAACATGCAACAAATTGCAAATTTTCATCTCAAAACATAGCAAGTCATTGCATCTAAAAAACATTAGCATTTTAAATCAATTATTTTAATAATTTGAACACAACATTTAACAAAAGTATTTAATGGAGAAATTGCATGTCAAAACATTATTAGCAACTAAAGAATGCTACAATATGTATAGTATATGATAGGATGCATAAACAGACATAGTAATTATATGTAGCTGTAGTAATAACATTTACAATAAGATGCATGCCTAGTTATCTTTGTGGCCTAGAGGTGTCTAGTCACCTAGATAAGCACCCTTTTTGAGAAAAATAACTGATTTCATTAAAAGAAAGGGAGGGATGAACATGAGGAGATTTACAACGCCTTGTTAACTAACAAAAAAAAAAACCCACTAATTACTTGGAAATGTATTACTTATCAAAAAACAAAATTAATTGGCAATGTGTTTGCACCATACCAGTGATTTAAAAGGCGTGCCTAGGCGCATTTCATGGTATGCGCCTTGTGCCTCAGCCCAGGCGTGCGCCTTTTGAAAATTTGGCGCTTTTTTGCTTTTTTTTT